CCATGTGGCATCACGGCGCTTGTTGGCGTAGAAGTCGATGTTCCTCCAAGTCTTCTTGAGCCCCCGATTCTTTTTCTTGGGCTTTGATTTCTTTCCCTTCTTGCCCTTGAAGCCCTTTCCTTTTCCCCTGCCTTTTCCTTTCAGGGGAGGGGACTCCGGCTCCGGAATTCCCAGCTCAAGGGCCTCCTCCTCGGGGAGCTCAACCCTGAGCATCCAATCTTGATTAGAATCAATATATTGATTTTGATGTCTGCAAAATCAATATCTCAGATTGATTTTTTGAATCAATTTTTCAATTGAAAAAACCATTGTTTCTGGACCCTTGAATCAATATATTTTTCAATATCCTACACCACCAGAATCAATATTTCAATCAATATTTCTGGACACTTTTTCATGCTTTTTTCATTGAACTGGGTCTGCTATGTACAAGCACCTTTTCCAAGGACTGCTATGTACAGACACCTTTTCCAAGGATTAGCCTTTTTCCAAAGTCTTTGCCAAAGCCTTTTCCAAGGCTGCTGATCCACATTGCCTTTGAGGGTTTGCCTTTTCCAAGGCCACTGTGCCTTTTCCAAGGTCACAGATCTTCCAGGTTGTCCTGATCCATCTTCCTGGTCAGCAGGAAGTGGACCAGAACCCTGTACTTGGGGACAACCTTCAGTGTGAGCCTGGTGGAGGACACACCAAAACTCACACTGTGGGCCAGCTTGCTGATGTGCCCTACATAATCCTCACCCAAGAAGCACATATGCTTGGTAGGGTTCTTATATTTGCTATTCCATAGAAGATGTATGAAACTGTGGTGTTTGGCCACAATTGCAAAACTGTTTCTGCCCTTTTCCAAGGACCAAGCATGAAGCCACTTGTAAGCATCCAAGAAGTCTTTTCCAAGACTCATGGCTTTTGCAAATTCTCTGGGTGTGAGGAATGTGCCAGCATCGCAGCAAAGCTGCACCAGCTTTTCCAAGCTGCAGGCTGCTGTGTGCATCTTTTGTTCACTGATCTCTGTAGTCCCTTCAAAGAGCCTTTCCAAGACTGGGACCAGAGCTGGGAGCAAATGCTTGGCTTCTCCAGCCTTGCAATCCAAACTGGCTTTGCTTACCTATGGCTTTGCTGCATCAGTGAACATAGACAGCTTTAAGTTGGTTAAGCGATGCTCCAAGCTTTGCTCTCTATACTGTTCTTGGATTTCAGTGAAGAGCATAGCAAGCCTTTCCCAAGGCTTTTTGACAGGCACCTTTCCAGGGCCTTCATAGTAGCATGCATAATGCAAGATGCTACCAATGACATGACTGTAGAGACCCTTGCAAAACAGTATGCGCATTGCATCCCCTCGAACATTCTTGCTGGACACATGGGGCAGTTGGAAGATCTCATGTGAACTCCATGGGTCGGCCAAATGTTCAGCATGGGTCCCTACTACAAACTTTTGCTTTTCCAAGCAGATCTCTTTGTAGTTCAGGGATGCATCACACCCAGCCCAATTCTGGGCATTGCACTCCCAGCAGGGGTGATGTGCAGCCCAGTGTGGGAGCTTCAAAGTGTTCGAATAGAACTCACACGGTCTCCCATGACACACCACAGATGTGCAAAGTACCCTCCAATCAATGGCTTTCCAGCCTGTGCAAAGAACACCCAACTTAGACATGTTAGCAATCAAGCCCTCTGCTGTTGCCTTGCCTTGCCTGGACAGTGAAGCTTTGGCCTTTCCCAAGGCATCATCCAGGTCACTTTGTACAGAGGCAACAGCATCTCTAGCTTTCCTTGCCTTTTTCAAGGCTTCCTTGAGAGCTTCTTCCTCTGTTTGCTCTGGCTTTTCTTCTTGCTCTTCTTCATGCACAGATCCATCCAAGATTGCAAGTGGCCACTTCTTGCCTTTCCCTTTTCCAAGGGCTTTCCCTTTGCCCTTGCCTTTTCCAAGGCCCTTTGCAGGTTGCCCTTTGCCTTCCCAGGCACCGACATCATCCAAGGGCAGAGCCATTGCCTCCACACTGTACAAGTGCTTGAACTTTTCCAAGTCCTGCTGATCAGGGTCAAATTCTTGACCTGATTCCCATTTCTTTCCCCTTGAGATAGCCGTCTCCTTCTTGTAGGATTGGGTATCTTTGTACTGCCACACCCCATGGGTGCTTGGGTCTGACCGGTACACAATTCTCCCAGAGTCAAGGTGTTTGTAAAACTCTTCTTCACTGAACTTGTTCAGCATCTGCTTTTCACTTTCCCAAGTGTCCTCCTTGGTCAGCTTTTCCCTTTGGGCCTCTTCTCTGGCAGTGTGAACATACTTTTTGCACTCCTTCTTCATGAGCCAAAGGGCAGCTGACAAGCTCTTTTCAACTTTTCCAAGTTTCTCATGATCCTCCGTTTCCAAGGGGTTCTTCTTCAAATAGGTCTGGTGCCTGCCCCAAACCATGGAGTGCTCATCGCAGCCAAGCTGGCTGCAAAGTGTTTCTTTCAAGTCTTTGGCTTCCAGCTTGGTGAGGAAGGCTGCCCAGATGTCATCAATGACTTGTGAGTATTGGGGGCACCTGGCAGCAGACACTTCAACAATCAAGTGGGGTTTGCTGCTGTTTGCAATTGTGGTGCCACACAAATATGCCCTTTCAGGGTTCTTGGCACATGTCTTCCTTATTTTCACCCAGTGTTTCCTTGTTTCCTTTTCCAAGGACCCTGTTGATGGCTTCTTTGCAACTGCCTTTCCCAAGGCCTTTGCCTTTGCTTTTGCCTTTTCCAAGGGCTTTGCTTTTCCATGTCCTTTTGCCTTTGCCTTTCCCAAGGCTTTTGGCTTTGCCTTTGCCTTGCAAGGCAAGAAACCCATGGCTTCCTTCAAGGACTGCTCTGCCACTAACCTGTGCCCTGGCCTGTTGGGCCTGCTTCTTGGGTTGTCTGTTGCTTCCTCTGCCTTTTCCAAGGCTTTGGCTTCCTCTGCCTTCTTGGAAAGGTCTGGGCTGGCAAACATTGTGGGAAGCCATGGGCATCCAGTGATACATCACTGCTTTCCTGGTTGAGCCTTCTGTCTTTTCCAAGACAGCTGGGCTGTGATGCAGCCTTTTCCAAGGCTGGAGGAAAAGGCTGGGCCCTTTCTCTTCAAGATGCCTTTGAGAGGCTTTTCTTCCTTCACCTTTTCCAAGGGCTTCACCTTTTCCAAGGGCTAACCCTGCAAGGGTGTGCCATCTCCCTTTTCCAAGGGTCCTGGGTTCTTTTCCAAGAACTTCAGAGCTGCCAACAGGGTGTTGTACTCTTCCCTGCAGAGCTTGGCAGCAATAGGGGACATGTTTGCAGTCTCCCCACCTAGTTTCCTGACAGGAGCCAGTAAACAATTCAGGCGCTCCACCTTGAGGTTCACCCAAACCTGACCACTGTGCTTCCCAGTGTTCAAATCTGGGTGCTCTGCCAGGAGGGACAGCAGGGCCTGCCTCATTGGCTGAGGGTGGATCTCACCACAGGGCCTCAAGAGGTCTTTCCATAGAGGTATCAAGTGAACAATGCCCTTTGCGTCCACACCTTGTGAGCGACTGATGTGGTCATATTGGCCCATGTTTGACACCATGGCCTGATGCCTTTCCAAGCATGAGTAGAGGACATCAGTATCCACCACAGGCTTGGAGAAATGCCTGGCTCCCCCTCTCCCACTCATCCGTTTCCAAGGGCACAACTTTCTCTTTTCCAAGAGTTGTCCTTTCTCTTTTCCAAGAGTTTTCTAGAGCTTTCTATAGATCTATCTTCTTGCTATTTTGAGCCAAAACTAGCAGCATTTTGCATGTACAAGGAGCACCTCCAAAATCAATATATCAATCAAAATAATTTTCAATATTTTTTCAATATGAAAATCAATATTTTAATCAATATTTTTTTTGTCGGATGGTTGAAAAAGAATATTGATTCTAATCAATACAAGCAAAATCAATATCTCAGGACATCAAAATATTGATTCTAATATATTCTAATCAAGATCGGATGCTCAGGGAACAGCCTCTTCTGACTCCTCCTCAGCGGGGAGCGTATGAGGGGTGTCCTCTCCTCGGGGTTCCTCTGCAACTTCCACGGATGTACCCCTGAACCTGCCGATGTCGTCCCTGGGCTCACCTGCACTGGATGACTGGTCCTCAGGGGTGTGAACACTCGGTGGGCTCCTGGATGGGGCCCTTGGCCGCCTTGTACTGGGCGCCGCCTTTGCGTGGAGCTCGTGGCGGCTGGGTGTACGAGAGGCTTCACGGCGTCTCCTCCTGGATCCCTCTCTCCTCCTTCTGCGCTTGGGACTGTCTTCACGGTCGTAACCCCCTCGTCGCTGCCTGGGGAGTGGCGGCCTTTTCTTTCGCTTCGACTCGGCCTCCTCGTTCTCGTCAGCCTCAACCTCCGGCCGTGAACCAGCCGAAGTAGCGCCCTCACCGTCGGCCTCCTCAGGGGCAATGGATGTAGGCCTCACGGGATGGCCCCTCTTCTTCTCCTCAGCCCCTCCAGGAGCTTCTTCTTCTTTCTCTTCTTTCACTCCCGTCTTCCCAGGAGCTTCCTGCTTCTGCTTCGGATCACCTCGTTCTCCGCTGTCTCGTACCGGCTCACCGGCCGGGGGGGGGAGATGTTGGGCCTTCGGGCCGCACCTCCCCTTGTTGTCCGGCCCCTCCACTGACAAGGGCCCTCCAGGGCGATCTCTAATAGCTGTGTATACAGGCCCTCGATATATGGCTGGCACCTATCCCGAAGAACCTGCGAAGTCTCGGCTCCGAACAGCAAGCTGGCAACCTTCCGGAAGGTCCTGCAGAGTCGGCACTCGCAGTCTGCCGGAGGGTGTGGCCCTCCCTCACCAGGAGGGCCAGCTCGCATGCTGAAGCCAAAACACACTGCGGATGAAAGAGTTTCAGGTCCGTTTCGTTTTTAAATCCGCGTACGTGACCCATAAAGACATACACTAAATACTGTGGATAGCAAGAATCCCCACTCTCGTCGGACGCCTCAATCCGAAGGGTCCGAAGGGCCCCTCCGAATTCTCAAGCCCAAGCCACACTCGCTGCCCCAGGACCAAGCTCTCCACCTCCTCCCCGAGCGCTTCCACCACACCAGCACCGTCTTTGCCTGGCCGAGTGCGGTCTTTGCCACATCATCCACGTCTCATGCACCATACTGTCACCTGCACTGCACACCATGGTACACCATCCAAGCTGTTTTGGCAAGGTGTCAAGATCATGATGCAAGTTTCCCTTAAATTCTAGGAACCACAATGAATAGTGCGAGCGCTTTCCTGCTAATAGTAGCTTCTCGTCTTTACTCAAAAAATGTTGTTTGAGTCTTTGCCCCTGTCAACCCACTCTCTAAACCCTACCCGCGAACCTGGTGTCCACGGAAGCTGCCTGTCCAATCACCGCAACCCAGCGAAAACAACGGGAAGTTCCCAAATATCCCAACTTTGAAACAAAATACTGCTCCATGCTGCTGCCATCGATCACAGCTCCAGGGATAAATATGGGATGTTGTTTCAACATGGTTCCTATAAAGAGGATGAGTACTTGACGATATTCGCCTGCCATGTCTAGAGTCTAAGTCCAAGTCTAAGATTGACGATTGTTCAAAAGCTTCTTGTTCTTGCCAAATTATAGCAAGTGGCGGAAGCAGGTGTGGCACGGCCGCATAAGGCCCACTCATGCCCAAGCGGAGGTACGTATCCGAAGGATTCACCCCAGCCGCTTCCACCTCGAGCAACTCAAGTATATACCAGCAACAGTCAAAAGGGGGGAGTACAGTTGGGCGATTTGATTTGAGAGTTGAGACAATCACACAAGTGTAGTCATGTCCAAGACCGGTTCGGCCTGCCAACCCTTTTGTGCTATCAGTGTTTGTGAGCTCTCAGGTTCCCTAAAAATCTAGGAACCAAATGAATAGTGCGAGCGCTTCTTCAAGGAAGCTCACCCTCAGGCGGCGGGAGCTTCCTTGAAGAAGCGTGAGCTATCCTGCGTCCATGCTAGAGCTACTTACTTAATTAAGCAGGCATCTGCTTAAACAGTAGGGACGGGGCAGCGGACTAAAACAAAAAAGTTCCCCATCTCCATCTCCTTTGCTACTGTACTCCAGTTACTCAATTTGACTCACCCACCGAGCGTGCCTTGACACGCACTTGCCCTGGCTGCAAGGCAGGTAGCTCTTTCGAACGAAGCTGAAGCACCTGACATGTGCAGACCATGGGTTCTTCCTTCAACACTGGCTCTTCAGAATACCCTTCAACAACGAGCCAAACTGAAGAGAATTGAAAGCCCAAACAAAGTCAGACTCTTGTGCAGTTGCAAAGCGATAAGTGCAGGTATGTGGGCTCCAGGAATCTAATGGATTACGCGTGAAACTTCAGCACCTGTGAACACGCGATTGTTGACTGTCTTGTTCTCTTGAACCCTGATGGAATCCAGTGATTGGAACAATTCTAGATGGATACGTACTTTCCACAGATCAAGAAGCTACGTGGACATATTGTCCCGCTCCCTTGCTTCAGGCCTCTGTCGCGCCAAAGGCTTCCACTACAATGGCCTTGGAAGAAAAGGGAGAACCTGACCCAGATGCAACCGCAGTCAGGCAGAAGCCAGCGCCGCCGGAGTCTTTGACTCTCAAACCTGGTTGAATTTCTGAGTTGTCTGTGCTTCTGTAAGTCTAAAAGGTGCTTATATAATAATACTTAAAAACATGATCCTAATTGCGTATTGTTGTTCAAAAATATAAGTAGATCCTAGTGGAGTTGTGAGACTTAGTCAGCAAACAGCTTTACTCCAAGGCACTGATACCGGCATGGCACAAAGCCGGCGGGTTAAAAACATGAAAATATACAGGAGAACACGCATGGGGACAACAAAGGCTGTAGGTCTTTGAAGAGGCATCGGTGAGTGTTCGATTGAAGCACAGGTACTGCAGGAAAATGCTTGAGGTGGAGTCTGGAGTGGTTCAATTTTGTCTCAAAAATCAGTGCAGTGCAAATGTAGGCTCGCTTTTCTTTACTTCCAGCCCGCTCGATGCAGCAGTGGGACACAAACATGTAATGTACTCTTGTCACTTGTCACAAACGCATGATAAGAACTTAGGACTGGTCTCCCAACAAGACGTTCCCGATGACTGCGCAAGACATGAGCGAAAAGGCTCCAGAAAAGCTGCCACCACCTCGTGGGAGCCATGAGGGTCACCCAGGGCAGCGGGAGCTTACATCTGCGCCAGGCCGAAGTCCACCACCACCACATGGAGGTCCTCAACTCGCATCATGATTGCTTCCCGTCTCTGCACTTAAAAAGTACTTTAAAAAGGACTTACTAGCTTTCAAAAAAATATATCAACGCCGGTTCTATTGGTATTAATGTTTTCAATATTAAGAAGCTGCTTAATGCGCTGATGAAACTGAAGGTTTCTTCTCCTGGATGGGAGCTCCCTTGGCACTGGCCATCATCACATTCTCTGGTTTCAGGTCCTTGTGCATGATGCCTGGCTAGTAACAAAGGGCATGGCTACTAGGGGCAAGGGCATGTAGCTCCTGGCCTTTCCACTAGGAGCAAGGGCATCGCTACTGGTTACTAGTAGCAAGGGCATTATATAATTACTAGGAGCAAATAGCTACTAGTAGCAAGAAGCAATGCATAAGGTTGCTTCTTCCGCCCGAAACTTCACCAGTCAGTCGAACACAAGTTCGGTTGGTTGCTGCACACTTAAGCGCGTTTTTGGGCTAAGCAACGCTTCGATCGCCATATTTGGCGAAGGAGAGATCAGGCAAAGAAACAGCTAAATCAATTGGCTGCAAGGACATTGAGAGTTCAGCTCTTGAATACCGAATCTGTGCTGGTCGTTTTAGGAATCAAGACTGGGAACTCAAACAGCGGATCCTTTCGGAGACAAGACTAAAAGGACAAAATGATCGATGTGTTTTAATCGGGGGAAAAAATACCCGTTTGTTGTGATCAAGCCTGATCGGGCCATCAAGTCACATTTTTCGAGATAATTTTATGGTCCGCCGTTGACTGCGAAGTTTCCAAGAAAAATTTCTTGAGCAAATGGACTCGGTTGCAAGCAGTTGTCCCTTAATGTCATTTCTCCGCTGCCAAACGCAGCTCTTCTTCTAGCCCACGTTCACAAGGCCCTCCTTTCAGGCCAAGCGATAGCTGGCTGTGAGGTCTCCAATATCCTGGAGCAAGCTCACGAAATGCCCAAATTAAACGGGTGAGCATGCTGTTGCGACGTGGTAAAGGTCGGGATGTGCCCCAAATGTAGAGGGAGGTGTCTTACCCTTGACAGGTTTCATTCCGTGACCATGTTGAAAGACTGGCTATGGGCTGCGGCTATGGCTGGAAAACGGAAACCCTCGGAAACCCTATGCTTATGCCTGCGTGGACATGTATGCACCTATAACGCCGTTGAACCTGAAGCTGCACAAATCCAGCAAAGAACAACAATCACCGTGTTTGGGTTCATATTAAATATAAGATGGAGATGGATGGAGCTGTTATGCACTCGGTTGATGCTCAAAGTATGCTGTATACCTTATGAAAGGTGAAGGAGTCGTAAAAGGGTGCTTTTGTCTTAGATTGGACGTTTTGCGCACACAGGCGCGCGTGCCATATGAATGTACGCGCAAACATGCGGACAGGTATGGGGGTGGATGGGCCGTCCAACTGCACGTACACTGCGCAAAGGCGGTTCCTTGATGGAGTGCCTCCCCGCATTGGTCATGCCGGCAGCCTTGCATGTCCTGCAGACAGTCTTACACGTCCCCGAACAGCTGGTTCAGTTGGTTGTCTCAGACCAAAAGCCCGAGTTTGTACCAAATGGCACCGCCCCAAAGGTTTTGCCAGCAAGCCCATTGAAACAGGTTTCGCAGCCCTACTCCACAATTTGGTCTTGGGAGTTAAACCATCCTTTGTAGAACACCTTGGAATGCAACGGTGACCTGACAAAAGCGCAAGCCTCTCTGTTCGCTACAGATGTTGTTGCGGCTGGGGGCGCCCAGGATGACCCGAAGATGACTGGAGTGAAGTGTTGATGTCGAATCACTTACCCCTGCTTCAGGCGCGCCTTGAGGTTCAAAGTTTTGTGGAAATAAGATCTATTTTTTGCACACACACTGGTGTATGGACGGGTGTGCGGATAGACGTGCCAATGTACCGACCTACCCACCCGTCTGCCCACCCACGCACCCCGACAAACGGACATTGGCCAGCTCCGCTACCAAACTCGTTTCTACGAACCTCAAGGTTCGCCTGAAACAAGGGTATATAAGTAACCGGACATCGAAAATTCACTTGCAATAACTGATACGTAGGAAGGCCTCCATATTCGTGTCTTCCCAAGTCTGCTTCATAAGTGTACCCCCAGGCCAAACCCCAAAGCTGAGCGTTGTCTTGCTGGGACCCAGGCTGATGCAAATCTTCGACGATGCGCAGAAGTGCCTCCTGCAACGTCACAAGAGCGCGGGAGTTCTTTGACAAATCTGTTTGGATCTAGTTGGTCACAGCCGTGGTGGTGGCGGTGCAAACCCTTTGCGCCAGGGCCCAGGGCTCCTCCCGCCCTCACCCTTGCCCTCCCGCCTTCTGCTCAGCGAGCTCCTGCCGCTCTCTGCGACACTCCTCCTGACGGCTCACCAACCGCTCGCCTGCACCCCGGAGCCTGTCAGCTTCTTTCTGAGCTGCATCCCGCTCCTTCCTTCGGCCAGGTCACAATGATTGGGGCCAAAAGCTTCTGATTTCAGTCCAATGTATCACTGCAGGCAAAGCTCTGTCCTTGTCGTACTTTCGGGAGGTGTATGGCAAACAATGCCAAACACTTGCCAAACACTCCGGCATTCGCCGTATTAGCCGTCATGTTCGATGATGCTCGGTGATGCTCCATGTACCACTCCATGCAGGCCGAACCGCATGCGATACAACTGCACAAGGCCTTAAGGTCCGAATTCTCTCATTGGCACTGTCAATCTTGCCATTGGCTTGCGCCGCAATCTGGCAGCTCACCCGAGGTCGGCAGAGTTTATCCAGCAAACAAAATGCAAAAGCATGCAAAAGCGGTATACCGACCTTAGACCTTCCTTGATAATCCATGCACATCCTGGACTCGGGGTGGGTTTGCTTGGTGCACTCGAGAAATCTTCATTGGCAGGCGGTGATTCAACGGAATTTCAACGGAACAAGTAACTTGTGACAGCCCTGACAACCATGGCAAATTTGGATGTCGAAAGGGGAGCAGGCAGAAGGATCTACAGTATTTCCTACATCCGCCAATGCGGGCCTCATCGATCCTCTGTTTTGCCACGACAACATCTGCCTGAGATCGTAAGGTGGTAAGTTGGACAGCCTCGTTGATCTTGTTGGAGTGTTGTCAAAGGGTTGACAAAGGATGTGCCACTTTGTGGAGACCACTGGAAGGCTTAAAAGGCTCAAAGGTCATCAAAGGTCATTGTTTACAGTCTTTCACACAATTGTAGACAATCCACTCTGCATCCCGCTGTTGGCCTGAAGAGCTTTGTTGTCCTCCCGATATCTTTGAGCCTCCGCCTCACCAATGTTGCTCTGTGGACAAGTGACAAGGTCACTCGCCAATGCGATATGCAAATTTTTGCGGGTGCCGTGCTTTGTCGGTGCTTTAGTGGTTTTTGGTGGGCACTATATATATATATGTTTGTCTGCCCTTCTTGCACTGTATGAGCTGCTGCGTTTTGACT